ACGCCACTGATGAGTGGACGATCATACTTCAAATGTACTTTGGATTGCGTTATGCCTAGCTACAAAGGGTCGCTAAATGGGTTACTGTTTATTTGATCTGATATACCATACCATTGGTTGGGTATGTATTATATATATGTTGCTCATGCTACAATATCCACGATTGTTTCCGAATTCAATGACGAATAATTGTCACAGTAAATAGATCTGGCTTTTGGGAAAAAATTCATCAGTTGCATTAAGGGTGGCTTCAGATCCACAATGGTACTTGAAGGGACCGGTTGGACAACAGCAAATTTAGAAAACTTGTCGACGCAAGTGAGAAAAAATTTCCTGTCAGTGGAGAAAATGTCTGTGTGCAACATCTCTCCTACATGTGAGGGGATCGGCATATTTAGCCCTAGCACACATTTGCAATTTTATACCATTTCATTGGCTGTCTTTCACATCTTTGGGAAGTAGTACTCGGAGAGTACTACTTCTCCAACCGCAAATACGTCCACTACACGATGTGTGCAGTGCCAGAACTTCGTGACCGGGTATCTTCGAACCAATGCGTCTTGTATTATTGCAAGCGTATGCAAACTACAGTGGAGAGCATTTACGCATTTGGGTGAAACTACATCTTCGAGTTCCTCTATCAATTCAATGCAAGTATAGTTGATCAAGTAACGTTTCTTATTCCCAAACAGAATGAAACGGCGGTTTAAGGGGAAACGCGCCTCTTTCAACACTATTTGGTTTTGAAAACAGTTCAAAGGTTTAATTGTTGACTCAATGGTGTTGGTGAAAGAGACCTCGCTGTGGATCGTTGCTGCACAGGACACCACCTCTTCTTCATCTACAGCGTTGAGCTGTTGCCTCAATAATGCATTCGCAACCAGATTTTCCTTGCCGGGTTTGTAGAAGAGGTGCTCATTAGACTTCGCAGTTAAATTGGATTCCGAACTGCGAAGATCAAGAGTTTATGGTCGGTGAAGACGTTAATGTCTTTCACCCCATCCAAATAGTGCCTTAATTTGGCAAGTGACCATACACTGGCCAATAGCTCTCTCTCTCTCATTTGTTGCGCAGCTAACCTCACAATCCTTCAATGTTCTCGAAATCATTGTTATAGGACGACCCTCCTAAGAGAAACCCGCACCTATGCCGTGGGCCGAAACATCGGTCGTTAGATCGAATGGCTTTTCAAAGTCGAGGTACCTGAGAATGACATCCTCGCATGCCAAAATATTACGCAACTTCTCAAACGCCCGTTGCTGCGCTTCAGAGAATTGAGCCTTTAGACCTATGTTTACTGACTGTTCCATTTTCGCCCTTCAAAATATTCGAGATGGATCTTGCTATTGCAGCGACGTCCCTAATGAAACATCTGTAATAGCTTGCGAGGCCTAGAAAAATTCTGACCTCAAACAGCGTTTTAGGTTCTGGAAACTAACCTAACCTTCTTTGGATCTGAATCCCAGAAAGCTCAAGTTTTTTCTAAAAAAAAATGCTATTTCTCGACTGAGACCCTCATGTTTGCTTTGTGCAAACTTTTTAGGACCCAGTCCACATGTTTAATGTGGGACTTCTCATCTTCTAAGAAGATATTTACCTCATCGACATAGACATTGCAAAACTTGCCAATCTGCTCTCGCAATATGTCGTCGATGGTTCTTTAAAAGTTGCTTGCTGCATTCTTTGGTCCAAAAGAGAGTCTTTTGATCTCGTATTTCCCCCCGTTTATCGAGAAAGAAGTCTTTTCACGGTCGCGCGCAGCGAATATGATCTGGTGATAACCACACTTATGGTCTAATGTTGAGAAGTATTTGGCTTTGAACAAATTTCCCAATATTATGTTTGTCATAGCGTACTTGCCAGGTACCGTTCTTTCGTTAAGTTTACGAAAGTCTACTACCTATCTCATTTTTTTATTACCTGCCTCATCAGTGCCTTTTTTGTCTACTACCCATATTGGGTTATTGTAGGATGAGACGGACTTTTGAATTATGTCATTCTTTAGCAGTTCTTTGATTTCTTTATTAACGAAATCATATCCCATTGGATAAGGGTAAAGCTTGGCATAGATGGGTTGCTCATCTGTGGTCCTAATGGTAGCCACGACTGATGTGTTATACGGCAACGCTTCATCTGGGTCTGCAAAAGCCTTTTGTCTGGTCTTTAGCATTTTTAAGAAAGAACTTTTAACTAATTGGGGTGCCTCTGCACAATTTACTTTTATGGACGCTGGCACAAGTGTGGAAATTATTTTTTCGACTATCGTACCTCACTTAAGTTGCCCTGAAGCTAAACAAAGCGAGGCCCCTACCTGGTAAAATAAAGAATGTAGCTTTTGTATTACACATCGACACAAATCATTTTTGTGTGATATTTGTTGTGCCATGGATGGAATGAACTGTGACTTACTTTTAAAAATTTGAGCGCATCCGAACCAGCATCGCTGTTGCCAACGTCGTCAATTTGCGACACTGCCCTATCAGCGGCTGTGGCATATGACTCTGACCCCCTGGTGCGCCGTGCGCAACTTTCTCTGAGCACTTTTGCGACCAGATGGAGCTGATCTCTTGTTTACATAAGATGGGGCTTGTGAGGGGTATAGCATTCTCGATATGGAAGGGTCAACTTCCATGGCCACTGGTGCCGTATTGTTATTCTGTTTTGATCGGCTTGGCTTTGCGTCCTGGCCTGCTTATTGTAGTGCGGATTTTCCTGGCCATTTGACTGTGGCTTCCCCTGCTGGCTTCCTTCGCTCATTTTCCTCCTGACTTCTAGCGTAGTTAGCCGCAAAGGTATATCTCTCATGGTTAGATTCAACCTCCTGTGCAAGGGCGAGAGCCGAGGGTAAGTCCTTTGGCTAAGTCGCGAAAAGCATGTGTGTGAGATTGCGTTTGTGGCCTGAAAAAATGGCTTAAAAATATGATATGCTGCCAGCGCTGCTTGCCACCACGACACATAAGATTCTTCTGCTCCAGTATTGGTTTACAGCAGATTGCTGAGCTAAGGCGATGGCCGTCCGCATAATTGCCCTGAGTTGTTTAGCGTCCACATTGCTAGGCGCTGGGGGAACAACGTGTGGCAGTCTTGGTCTGCGAATTCGGGTTTGAGTGTTTAGTCAGATTCTGAGTCACTTGAATAGTGCCGGGCGTTCTGTATTGTGAGAATGAAGAGCTCATGTACCTTCACTACAGATAAACAATTCAATATTTTGATGACTGAGTGTGACTTCAGTGACGCTGAAGTATCTTGTTACGCCAGAGCGCTTAGCTATAAAGTAACGTAAAGACAACTAACGAATATATTGGGAAGCAAGCCGACATAATGCGCGTTCTTGCAATTAACTTTAAATACAAATGACAAATATATAGCCTCATTATTAATCAAAGCTCTCAATGGCGTATATCTTACTAGTTTATTATAATTATTTACAGCTTAGATTTATAATTGAATAATAGGTAGTGCAAAATATAATATGTTTAAAAAGAAATGTATTTTTGTGTTTTTATATACATTAAAAATGGGTATAAGGGTATATAGTATTTGTGCAAGATCCAAATGCATGTAACAGGTAGAAGGAAGCATCTCCGACCCCATAAAGTATATATATTCTTGATCAGCATCAATAGCCGAGTCGATCTGGCCATGTCCGTCTGTCTATCCGTCCGTCAGCCCGTCCGTCCGTCCGTATATATGAACGCAAGGATCTCAGAACCTATAAGAGCTAGAGACTTGAGATTTTAGATGTAGGTGCTCCTAGTGCCAGCGCAGATCGAGTTTGTTGTCCGATAATCGATAACTTACTTCCATTTCCGTTTTAGTAAATAGATTCACCAAACTTGACACAAAGCTTCTAAAATAGAATATATATATATATATACATGTTGGAAGAAGAGGGTTCAGGGTACCCCTAGTCGGGAGCTCCCTCTTACTTATTATGTATCTCTTGTATCGACTTGAAAAGAGTTAAGGAGAAGCCCACTTACTTGATCTCAAGACAACTGCTAATTGGGAATTAGTTCTTGGGGCAGCTATCGCTTCTCAGTTCCAACGCCGCAGTCTTCGCTGTCCAGATAGCTTGCGCGCTAGCCTGGCGACACACCGCTGCCCGAAGAGCTCCAGCGGCTTCGGTGTACTTTTTGTGTCATAGCGCTTTCGCGGACTTCTGCCAATGTATTATTCACAAAAATTTTGACGCGGGTCAGCAATCAAAACTTGCACTTTTTCACGTTTTGAACGCATGCAGTTGTTGATATAGTGTTTCAGTTTTTATATAACACTCGCGTGGGTAATTTTATTGTATGATTACCACGAGTTGGGCGCCAAATAAGTGATGTCTGAATAGAGAGTTTAAACTTTGATTTTTATTGGGAGCAGAACCGACCCATTCTCTCCGAATATAGCAAGTCAACTGAACTATAGTACAAGTTCATTTGCTCAAGACTAACATCAAGGGGGATCAGAATCATAGCGGCCACACAAAAATTTCGTTCGGAGTCATATTCCCGACAATGACCGGGCGTGAGTGAATTATAGTTAACTTATATATATCATGATCAGCATCAACAGCCGAGTCAACCTAGCCATGTCCGTCTGTTTGCCCGTCCATCCGTATGTATGAACGCAACGATTTCAGAACCAATAAGAGTTAGTGACTTGACTTCTGCTCTGATGCAAAGTGCTTCGGTCGGTTTAGTTTAGTGGATATTCACAAGTCGAGCACACTCGGCAAGAGCCAGCTGTTCGTAATAAAAAGATAAATGATATATTATGATCTTAAAGTGCGGTGATAAGTTCAATCACTTCTCTAATAAACGATAGGAGAGCAATAAATATAAGCTCTAATTTTTGGAAGTGCCTTTAAAGTACTTAAATCAACCCTCAAAATGTGTTTAAGTAAGCAGCATTTTGTACAATAATTCCTTGGCTACATTGTATTATTAGACTACTTATCAAAATTAAATTAAATAAATATTCCTGTTAAAGTCGTTTTTAAATTTCAGCAAATTGCTTTTAAAGGATGCTCACGCATGTTTCTATCCGTATTACTCTTCGACTAATATTGATCGGCTCCCATCAGCAGGGTACTATACGCATACAGCTTCGAAAGAAGAACTAACAACACAAAGGTAGGATAAAGTTATACGACTTACAATTAATTATTTATTATTTATAACCGTCGCCATTTTGCTGCAGCTTGTTAAATGTTTTTCATATAAACTGTGACCCCCATTCTCGGTCGCCTTTTCCAAACACTTCTTACTGCACACTTCTGACCCAAAAGGAATCTTTAGTTAAATCTTCAGCTTCCTATCACCAATAATAATTAATAACCCATAAGTCATTCGTAAGTCCGGGCAATATATTATATATGTCGGAGTGCAAGTATTATTCTCCATTTTATAAAGCTTCAGAGCGCAGCGAGTTCAGATGTATACGCTAGGCGTCTCAGGAAGCAACAGAACTCAACGTTCTTCCTTTTCCCTTTGTATCCCATCAAACCACACTTGGCGACATTGTCGCCTCGCCATGGCAGTTCTAAGCAAAGCGGCAATAATGCTTCTAGAACAGTCGCAACATACAACTTCATTTGCCATTCCCAATCATTGTGAACTACCAATATATATATAGCTAGTATATATATATTTAGTAGCGGGTAAAGCCCGGCCTAGCCCGTGGCACGTATGTTATAAAATCAATGTTCTCAAAAAGCTTTGAAAATGATATTGAAACTGATCGGACGGTAAACTGAATACTTTCATACTAACGTTTACCGCCAATTTACCACTGTTGCGGGTGGAATTTCAAATCAAAAAATCACTGAATATTCATTATAATCTTATGTAGAACTTTGCAAATATGTTTGAAGCAAATCAGGTATAAAAATAATTAACACTTACCTTATTTGTATATCTCTATATATAAAACTGTTTGTCCTGACTGACTGGCTGACTGACTGATCAGCATCAATAGCCGAGTCGATCTAGCCATGTCTGTCCGTCTGGACGGCAATGAGAGTATCTATCAAATATCTAAGATATGCATGCTACTCACTCTCCCTCTCTTTGTAGCTGTTAACCAATAACAGCATAAGTATATGCATGTACACATATGTTAAGCGCAATATTTTACTTTGAATAAAATCATTTACAAAACCCAAGTCAACCAGCACTAACGTGCTTTTGTAAAATCATTATTAAATCCAAACATTACATGGCGACCGTGACATGGTCACGCATCCCTGCCTGGAGGCAGTAGACCAAGTGAAAAAGGAACTTCATTGCCTACAAAGAGCCCATGTATAATATACAATTTGAAAAGCAATTTCATGGCCAACAAAGAAGCCATCTATAATATCCAAGTGGAAAAGGAACTTCATATTAACGAGAGGCCATCTATAACAACTGCCGTCGTAACTTGGACATTGAGCATCCCGTATTCTGAGTGAGTAGAGAGTGAGTGTTATGTTAACGCGGTGGCTTAAATAAAATTAATAAAAGAATAGCGCATCGAAGTTGGCTGCTATACACAAAACAGCCAACATGGTCGCATGGTCGACAGCTCAGAAGTTACAAGATGAACTCGACTATCTGCAAAATGAAATTAAGCAGAGAAAACCAAACACCACTACTCACTCAAATATAAAAGCTATAATAAACCAAACAACTAATAAAGTTACACCCATTGCCGCAACCAGCCTGCCAAAAGAAAAACGAATGTGCCCACACTCAACAGCAGACACTGCACTGCCGGCACCTCCAACAAATAAACACCTGTGCGAAGACCAGCACCGCTACCGCCAGCGCAACAAGCTGTGCCATCGGAATAAGTGCGAGAGGCACACCGCCACTTGCGCACACAACGCGACGACCAAGCTGATGCAACGATGAACAACAGTTGCAGTTATATCCTTAATTACTTTTAATAAAATAAAAAAATTTTGTAAAATTGAGCAGAAACACCTCCGCCCGATTAGCAGCATAGCCCGTAAAGCTATGCGAAATGCTAGGTAGTATTTTGTGTTATTAGCAATATTGAAACCATGAAACTAAAAACATTGGCATTTAGAACTAAAAGCACTATATGTTACATAAAAACATTATATGAATTTAATAACATTATATGCATTTTTGTAAGAAATTTTAATTAAAATGGCTTCAATCGAATCCAAGGTTGAAAAATCAGCCGCAAATGTTATAAATAACGTAAAAGTAATTGACCATAAAGAACATTTAGAAAATATTACTATTTTGCTAATTATAATTACTACAGTATCTCTGGTATCACTAGCATTGAAAGTGTATGCAATGCATACAAAGAAAATTAAGAAACGCTATAGCAGTAGAGCAGACGGACAAGCTTATCGGATAAGGTATGAATATATTTAAATATGCCAGATATAGACGCACTCACTTCGCTTACGTATAGAGATGAGCCAGATCTTCGTACTCGAGCACTAAACGTGCAGCGACTACATAAATTGAGAACACAATGGCCCAAACAGCTATAAGTTTTCTCAAACTAGCCTCATCGCTCTTGTTAGAGTTTGATGGAAAGGCAGAAAACTTACAAAGCTTCAAAAATGATTTGAGTCTGATAGACTCACTAAAAGAAGATCATGAAGCAACAGATGTCAGTCTTATAAAGACAAAATTAAAACGCCATGCACGAAACTTGATAAGCGACGAAAAAACAATCGCCGAAATAATATCAAAATTATCAAGAACGGTAAAAGGAGAATCAGTTGAAGTGCTATCAGCTAAACTCCTAAACCTTCAGCAAAAGTGCAAAACTGCTAACATTTATACACAAGAAGTTGAGAAACTGGCAAAAGCTTTAGCAGGTGCTTATATTAATGATGGTTTTATGCCTTATCAAAATTTGTTAATAGTTTCACAGAAGCAACCGGACAAACTATTACTGTCCTTTATTACCAAAATTACTCTGATCGTAGTGGAAACCGCGGCAGAGGTAATTATAGAGGCCGACCATACAACAGAGGCGGCTACAATAATAAAATAATAATACAGAGGACAAGGTCAAAATAGAGGAAACTCTAGAGGCCGTGGCAACTCGAACCGAAGCCACAACAATAACAACAGAAACAATGTTAGGGTAGCCCAAAATAATTCGGGAAACCAACAACCCCCTTTAGATATACAGAACTAATAAAGGCTCATTCAATAAACTTCAATCTCAATATTTTTGTCTCTTTTTATAATGTAGAATCAGGAAAAAAACTAGTATTTTTTAATAGATACAGGTGCAGATATCTCAATTTTAAAAGAAGATTCTGATGTCTTCAAAGACATCCAGTTTAATAACACTATAGACATTCAAGGTATAGGTCAAGGAATTAAAATCCAAAGGCATCGCCACAATCGAGCAACAAACTGACAACTATATAATTTTCACAATTTTCATATAGTCAATGCAAGTTTCGCTATACCGTGTGACGGAATAATAGGCATAGATTTCATAAAAGGTCTTAATTGCAAAATAGACCTAGAACAGTCCGAAGATTGGTTTATAATAAGACCAAACAATATAAATGTCCAAATTTATGTTCCAATAACATACAGTTCTGGTAACAATTCAATACTTCTACCAGAAAAATCAGAAGTTGTCCGAAAAATTGAAATAAACTCAATTGAAGATATTCATTCCAAATCAGGAAATTCAACCTGGAATTTTCGTTGCAAACACAGTTTCAACACAAAAAAATAAAAAATTGTCCGATTTCTTAATTCGACCAATAAAGACCAATTAACTAATATAAACAATCTAAACTTTGAACCACTTTCAAACTACGGCGTAGTTCAAACTACTCCAGAAAATAGAAAGAACACAGTACTAGCTCAATTAAGTAAAAACTTTGCAAATCAATTTAAACCACAATTAAAAGAATTATGCACCAAGTATAGTGATGTATTCGGACTTGAAACCGAATCAACAAAAACAAATAATTTGTATAAACAAAAATTGAGATTGAAGGATACTGAACCAATTTATATCAAAAACTATCGAAGCCCGCATAGTCAAGTAGAAGAAATTAAAAAACAAGTAGGCAAATTAATCTCCGATAGAATTGTCGAACCATCAGTGTCAGAATGCAATAGCCCACTTCTACTAGTCCCGAAGAAAGCACATCCAGGCTCAGAAGATAAGAAATGGCGATTCGTAATTGACTAATGTCACATAAATAAACAAGTAAGAGGTTCTAATCGGGAGCTCCCGACTAGGGGATACCCTGAACCCTCTTCTTCCAACATCAAATGCATATATATATTCTATTTTAGAAGCTATATGTCAAGTTTGGTGACTCTAGCTCTTATTATATACCAAAATTGCCCAAAAAACAGGATATCGATATCGATTTTTATCGATTGCTTGGAAACGGAGTAAGTTATCCTTTATCAGAAACAAACTCGCGCGGGAGCTAGGAGCATCTACATCTAAAATTTCAACTTTTCAGCTTTAATAGGTTCTTAGATCCTTGAGTTCATACATACGGACGGACGGAAGGACGGACGGACGGACGGACAAACAGACGGACATGGCTAGATCGACTCGGCTATTGATGCTGATCAAGAATATATATACTTGATGGGGTCGAAGATGCTTCCTTCTGCCTGTTACATACATTTGGATTTTGCACAAATACAATATACCCTTATACCCATTTTTAATGGGTTCACGGTATAAAAACTGTTGTCCGATTAGTTTCCTCTACCTAGAATTGATGACATTTGAGATCAACTAGGTATAGCAAAATACTTTCCTTGACTTAATGTCAGGTTTTCACCAAATTGAACTTGAAGAGAGTTCAAGATATATAACGTCTTTTTCAACGAGCAATGGCTCATATTGCTTTACGCGATTACCTTTTGGTTTAAAAATAGCGCCAAATTCATTTCAGAGAATGATGACTATTGCATTCTCTGGACTAGAACCTTCTCAAGCATTCCTTTATATGGATGATCTAATAGTTATAGGTTGTTCCGAAAAACATATGGTTAAAATCTTAACTGATGTTTTTGAGAAATGTAGGAAATACATACTTAGGTTACATCCTGAAAAATGTTCATTTTTTATGCATGAAGTCACATTTCTGGGACACAAATGCACA